GCAGAGAGCGATCACGTGGAGCAGGCTTGGGGAGCCGCCCCCCGACCCCGGCCCCGCACTTCTAACCTAACGCCGCACGCCCAGGAGCCGCACCTGTGCTTCCATTTGGCTTTGCAGCCCCTGGAGTCCGCGGCGACCGTGGGCTAAGAAGGTGCCGCCCCGGAAGGGCCAGAGCAGGGCTTGGAGCCCGGCGGGGCGGCGGTGGAGCAAACGGCACCGGCCGCACCCCTACACTCGCCGAGATGCACAACGCGTTGTCCTGGGAGCTGGGGCCCCCCAACGCGTCGTCCCCCGGCTTCCCGCTGGGCTGCCCCAACGCTTCGAGCCCGCCGCCGCCTCCGCCGCCGCCGCCGCTGGCCGTGGCCGTGCCCGTGGTCTACGCGCTGATCTGCGCCGCGGGGCTGGTGGGCAACTCGGCGGTGCTGTACGTGCTGCTGCGGACGCCCCGCAAGAATGTCACCAACCTGTTCATCCTCAACCTGGCCGTCGCCGACGAGCTCTTCACGCTCGTCCTGCCCGTCAACATCGCCGACCTGCTGCTGCGGCGGTGGCCCTTCGGGGAGCTCATGTGCAAGCTGGTCGTGGCGATCGACCAGTACAACACCTTCTCCAGCCTCTACTTCCTCGCCGTCATGAGCGCCGACCGCTACCGGGTGGTGCTGGCCACGGCGGAGTCGCGCCGGGTGGCGGGGCGCACGTACGGCGCGGCGCGCGCGGTGAGCCTGGCGGTGTGGGCGCTGGCGACGCTGGTGGTGCTGCCCTTCGCGCTCTTCGCCCGGCTCGACGAGGAGCAGGGCCGGCGCCAGTGCGCGCTGGTCTTCCCGCAGCCCGAGGCCTTCTGGTGGCGGGCGAGCCGCCTCTACACGCTCGTGCTGGGCTTCGCCATCCCCGTGACCACCATCTGCGCCCTCTACCTCGCCCTGCTGTGCCCGGCTGCGAGCCATTGCGCCTCGACGGGCAGGCCAGGCCCTGGGGCCGCGCCAAGAAGCGGGTCACTCTCTTGGTGGCGGCGATCCTGGCCGCGTGCCTCCTCTGCTGGACGCCCTACCACCTGAGCACCGTGGTGGCGCTCACACCGACCTCCCGCAGACGCCGCTCGTCGTCGCGGTCTCTACGGCATCACAGCCTGAGCTACGCCAACAGCTGCCTCAACCCTTCCTCTACGCCTTCTTGAACGCGGCTTCCGCAGGCGCTTCCGCAGCTGCTGGCTGGCGCCCGCCGCTGAATCCCCGCGCCTCTTCGGCACCGCGGCCTGACTGCACTGCCCCCGCTCTCACACTCCAATGCCAATGCTCGGCCCGGACTAGCGCGCCGTAGTGACTGCTGGTGATGTGGAGAAGCACCAGGTCAGACATCGGGCTGAAGCACACGGTCTATGCGAGGACCTGACTATTCGGAAACCAGGGAGAAAAGTCGAAATACTTGTTCATT